TAAACATAAACCAACATTTTCAGCATGTCATTGTTAACTAAACATAAACCAACATTTTCAATTAGAATATATCAAACATGAAAATGTACCTTTCCAGTTCGGGCTAGTTCTTTGATCCCAAACTTGCTTAAATTTCTCAAAACGGCAGCCATTTTCCCTGGATCACCAGTTACCTAAGTCAACCACAAGACAACCAATCTGCTTGTTATTTAAAATAGCACAAGAACATGATTAAAATGAAATTATGCATCACCACTCTAGATTATAAACACATCACTATACAAATTAAAGAAATAAACCTGCAGCAAAGTTGAACTCTTTGCAATGCTAATCTCGCTAAAGATCTTACTTAAATTAAAGACTTAACACTGAAGAATCAGATGTCAATGGCTAGCCAAAGTGTTACTAGCTTTCTTCCTCTACTTTTTTTTAATTAATTTTAAGTTTAAACATAGTAGGGTCAAGCAGCCAAGCAGATTGACAAGTATTTTGTTTTTTTTTTCTTCTAGATTCAAATTATCATGTCTTAATCCACTAAAATATGGGGAACTGTGGGTAAACAGCCATGATTGGCAGCACAGAAAAATGGCTGAAAAGCAAGCCATATGTATGGGTCAAAATCTGTCTTTAAAATATTTAAGCCAAGTTAATACTGGGGAAGCGTTCTCAGGTCGATGTTCGTCGAAAAGATCTAAGAAACGGCAAAGTCTGTGGTCGAGGAGTTAACAAGGGCTGAAGTCGAGAAGTCAACAAGGACCAAGGCCGAGGTCGAGTACTTTTGACAGAGTTGTAACGGCTAGTTTCAAGATAGGACATTAAAAGAGAATATTCTAGTGGATATTCTCTGCACTTGTATTGTTAGGGTTTTTAGGAACGCGTTCCCTATAAATAGAAAGAGACAATTATAGGGGACATGTAATATTCATTTATAAGAATACACTTTGACTTGAGAAAGAGAATCAGATCTCATTGCTAGTATACAAACATGACCTTTTCACTAAGATTCTTGTCTACACTTTTTCACTAGATCCGAGAATAACTCATATATTCAAAGGATTGTCCATCACTCATCATTGTCGGAAAGAACATTGACTGATTACATCCTTTCTTGGGTGACTCATTCATTCTATTTACTTAAATGCGATTTATTGTTATTCATTGATATTGAATGCTACATTATTGCCTTTGATTTATAGAATATTTATTGCATACTGCCGCCGTTATTCAAATACACCTACGTAATATTTGTTGCACTTTCGAGAACTCCATCTTAGGGATATTATTGTTAGCTAGGATTAACCCTCATTTATACAAATTTAATTAGTTAAACCAAGATCTATATTTTTTGGTCAAACACTATAGAAGATGGAAAAAAAACAAATAGCAAATGAACACGAACAAATAGCAAGTGAACACGGTTGCATAGTCGGTTAGCAAGGATTACATATTCAAAGAGAATAGGTATTTTAAAAAAAAGGAAATAAAGAATTAAAAATAAGTTCTTCTTTCATCCCATTTTAATTCATTAATTTTCATATAGTTCAATACTAAAAGTCTAAAATAGTGAATTGATTTTTCTATTAAGATTGGTTTACAATAGTTTGAAATACTAAAAGCTTGTTTGGATGGTTGTTACCTATTGTATTCGTCTTGTTACTTTAAATACAATGTTTGTCTTGATTGTTACTTAAATTTTATTGTATCGTATCGCTAAATCCATCGTTACGTAACGACAAAAAGTGCCATTTTATGGAACGACGGATTTGATGTGGTGGCATCGTTTCCTTGTTTTTTTCTCTCATTTTGCCCTTCCTTAAGATAATCATATCTTATCCTTTACCCTACTTTTTTATATAATAATTTTACTTAGTATCCTATTTTTTCTTAGTAATTTTGCAAGTTTATTCTTCATATTGTTAGTGCGTGACATCATGAAACGACGACAAATAATACAATTTATTAAAATGTTGTATTCATCAAACAATACAATACAATGTATTATAATACAATACGATACATTATGAAACGACCTGTAACAACAATCCAAACAAGCTGTAAATTTTTATATTTATATTTAAGAATGGGGACAGACAGAGTATGTTGTTGTTGAATGGGGACAAACAAACATTGCATCAAACTTGAAATAACATAAGTTACCTTTTTTTTAATAAGTTGTAAAAAGTACTATTAGTTTACAGTATTAATTTGAGTTGTTTGGACGAAAATGTTTGCCAAGAGTTCAGAGTTTTACGATAGACTTGAATAAAAAGTAGGCAAGCCAACTAAAAAGTGGCGGAGAGAGTGTGACTTGATTCCAATATGGAAGCATTGAAGACAACAGTGAACTCAGTCTTGTTTGATATTCCCTATTTTGCATGCTACACGACAACTAACAACATAAGTATATGCAAAACTTTATGTGAGAGATGAATCTAAGATCTTTAATGGTGTTGTGCGATTAAGTTTCTAAACAATCACTGATCAAGTACTAGCCACACATCAGAACCAAAGGCACGAGTTATATCATAAACACTTCAAATGACATGTAAAAGCAGGGAAAGAAGAGTGGACTCACCTCGATGGTCAAAAAGTGCTCTGATATATCCACAATTTTTCCTCTGAAGATGTCCACCAACCACATGATCTGAATAACAAAGTAAACCATAAAGAGCTAATACATAGACTAAGAAAGAAAATAATGGCATGCCACCAATCCATATCTTAAACAATTTACGCACTGTTCATTCTATATACATTGTAACTGAAAGATTGAAAGGCTGAAGACCAAGGAACCTTGACAAGTTCTTTTCTATGCAATCAAATTACTGCCTAAAAGGAAAAGGACCCCGTTTTCTGTTTTACAATGGATCTTCATGGAATTAGATCCTTCTTTACTTAATAAATTTCCAGCACCTTTAAAAAATTGATATGAAGGATTTCCAGCTTTTATTTTCCCATTTGATCAGTTTAGTTACTTCAGCGCATAAACAGGCTTAGTTATATTGTTTCACGCAGATAGAGTATTAATATGCTAGCTGCAGTATGTCAGAGATGTAAATTTGGATAAAGTTACATCCATGACAATTTGGCCCCTAACGATCAATCAATAGGAAGATTGTTCCAACTCATTGATTTAGAAATATTGCTGATATAGGAACAAAGTTAAACGCGAAAAGTGAGAGGTGTCTTGTATACTTCAGCTTTTGTGCTTGCATCTGCATTCAGCTTTATGAGCATCAATTCTCGTTCTACTTGTGGTTCTCTTGACAGATCCTCTACCTGAAATATCATACCAATACAAATTAGGAAGTGTGATTTTTTTTATGACAACAGCCAATACTAGCTGAATACAGGGTTGATATAATTTTGTTTCATTGCGGAAGAATTTATGGATATACCTCGATTCAATGCTTATGCACGGGAAGTTGACAACAAGTCATATGCCGGTTAAAATAATGCATATCCAGGTACTACTTTAACTATTCCATGGATTTCCCAGGAGAGGACATTGAAGAATTAGAAACCAATGACAATTACTAATCATTCTCATGCTTTGCATGTCAAAGGCAAAGGAAAATAAATGCGCAAACCTACTGCTATATTAAAAATCACAGCTTCCTCTACAAAATACCTCAGAGAGATTTTGCAAATGATGATTGCTTACAAGTATAGCAATCATAAATGCTTTTAGAGAAATATAACACACAAGCAGGAAGATATTATGCGAGTTAACAGGGGATCTGATTGACAAAAATGTAGAAACGGGTATCTGACGTGTGCGGCTAGTCATGCCATAGGCACAAACACACAACTGCACCCACTAGAGCCTATAGAAGCTATCAAATTGGTAACCTTCCTACTATAAAGATATCCAGGAAACCCAGAGAGAAATACTATTAAGAAGCTGAGCAACGAAATACAGCCTGATATTTCAGAAAATTAAACTAACCTTCAAGACATTAACAAGCTTGTTGAGCTGCTCTACAACTTGTTGCAAGACCTTCTCAGTTCCAGAGACAACTATGGTAAAGAGAGCTTTATCCTTGTTCAAACCAACAGCAAGTGACTCAATATTGTAACCCCTTCTAGCAAAAACTCCAGCAATTCTGTTTATTATACCACTTTCATCCCCAACAAATACTGAAATGGTGTGACATTTTACCCTGGTAATAAATAAACGGTGAATTGCAACTCCACGAGGCGCAGACATATAAACAACCTCTATATAACTCATGGTGAATCAAAAAGTAAAGAAGATTATTTCTTTGATCAGTCAATCAAAATGTAAAGAAGGTGGCGTACTAGTTTTCCGAACAAATAACCAAATCTGGTTGATTGTAACACTTGCAAATCAATCCTGGATCTGCCATGATATCCATGCACATGGAAGCCCTCTTCCAGTTTGAGTTAAGTTAATAAAGAACAAATACAGGGGGAAGGGAATAACCTATATAAAGAGTTCTAGACGAATGTGATGTGAAGAAAAAGCTCATTAATCATTATATATTCAGAACCAGAGGATTTTATCCTTCTGTGAAATCAGTTGGTTAAAAAGCTGGTTTTCGGATAAAGAAATCTGCTACCCAGCAATATAGCACCTTTTCATGGCTTAATATTCCGTCAGAATCACGAGACTAAGAGTCAAAATTTTCTTCTTTTTTTTTATGATGGTGGTGTCAGGGTCAGCTTAAGCACACCCCGACTATTCCACCGAGTACCTGCTACCTCCCACAAGCACCGGTACCAAGTAACTTTGCCCACCAATGTAGGCGGATGGGGAGTCAAAAGTTTAATCAATCAAGAACCAGTCATGCATGCATGGAACATCAAATGGACTCGTGAAAATAGAGATAGGTAGAGAGAAATGGCAAAATAATTGGAATCTTATCTACTTTTACTTATCAAAAGCGGAAAAAAGCTTAATAATCCACATTTAAAAAAATAATCCTTTTTCTTTTTTGTCTTTTTCCCCTAAACTAGCGTCACCATCAAAGCGATGATAAACAAACTTATCTCCTCATTTTATTTCAAATTGACAAATAGTTACTAATCTATCAAAAAACACGTTAATGATTAATCTTAAACAATCGCATTCATTAATCAATTGTCAGAACACACATCTATACAAGCAAAAATAAAAGGTAATTAAATAGAGCTATATCCCGAATGGAAAATGATCAGTCGATAGAATGAGCAAAGAACAACCTTTTTGAAGCACACAATATTTGTATGTTGCGCTATTCCGGTAGTACATTAACACAAAATATTTGCAATCCCTCGTACTAAGCTCCAAACAACTCAACAATCACAAAATTACCAAATCTCAACTTCTCATGCACCTAATAATGAACTAAATATACTAATTGTAGCTTACCGAGAGGTAGAAGGCGACGGAGGAAGTGGCGGAGCCATACGTGTCACGGAAACAGCGCCATTATCAGTGCTACCACTTCCACTACTACTCGCCGCAGTATTTGCCGTAGTTATAACCGGCGAATGCTTTTTAAGACCGAAACTGAAATTCCGGCGACCGAGTTTAGACGGAAGAGTTGGTTTACTTAATGCTGGTAGGAAACTTTTCTTACTCAGCCCCGTCGCTGTCGCCGCCGCCGCCATGGTTGTTTTGCTAAAACTTAGCTGCAGCGTCACAGTGAAATGAAAAGAAAGGATGAATGAAGAATTTGTAATTTGCGAATTTTCTATTATTATTTTTCCTACTATTAATAAGGCACAGTTTAAGGAGCTCGAGTCAACATGGCTGCTTGTGGCCTAATGACGAAAAAACCAGAATCTTAGTTTAAATGCCAATTATATGCTGACTTTGTAACCTGGGCCCATAGGGTATTTAGGTAATTATATTAAAGGAAGCTACTTTATTTGTACCCGTTAATTTAAAGCTTCTACCACCTGGCACTAGATGCTTTATGCTGGGCCCATAAAAATGATGAGTCTACAACAACTTTTCTTTTGAGTTGATAAAATTTTATATTTGGAAAACCTGATGCAATATACAGTTCCTTCATTAAACTTTTGGGTTTTTCATATATGTGCCTAGCTTTCTAAAATTGAAAGCCTTTTTCAATTCTATCCCTAGCCTTTTTGAATTTGTATTTTCTCCGTTTTAATTTTGATTTAATTTATCTCTTAGAGAAAAGAAGATGGACAATTATTTTAAGGTTAATTGAGCTTACTTGGTTTGACTAAATCAATAAAATATTTGAACTTAATTTTTATTTTCTTGGAAAATTTCTTGTGCAAAGTGGAGGATAACGCTAAGACTTTATTTTCTTTTGCTATTAGAATTGATCCTATTTGAAAATCTACACTAATTATTTGGTACTTTAGAATGTCATAAGAAATTTCAACATACAACACAAAAAGAAGAAAAGAACTTTACAAATATTTCAGGAATGGTTTAGATTGTATTGTCAATAATAGGTAGCTCACCTTATGCTTATGTGATGTATTTTTCATATTTTGAGTATGTTAGTGGAGTATCCTTTCTTATAAATCATGAGTTAACAAAATTACTTCTTGAAGAGCAGGTTGTATAATGACTAACATAATAATTTATCATCGCTTATAAATGGTTGTTGAGAAGATTAAGTTGAAGTAGATAAAAGACGAACTACTATTTTTTCTTTCTTTCATAGAGTATCAAGTATTTTGGACATAGCAAGAAATGCCATGTGTATCATATTTGATTATGGAATTATTAGTAAACTTTATCTTAAATGAAATAATTCGCTTCTTTGACAAGTTATGATTGTGTATATTTTTCTCCAATGCATGACATCTTTATACAGTAGTTATTCGGGAGCACCCATAGCTTTGACTGTAGTGAGAAGCCCTTGTGAAAAAAAATTAATTAGTGCATTATAAAAATAATATTATTTCTACGGAAGAACCAAATAATATTTTTATTAGTGTACTTATAAATTCAGGTATCACCTTACATTTAAATGTAAGTTGTGGTTATTATTATCGTGTTGTTGAAATATGTTATTTACTATTCTTTGTATATATAGCAGAAATGGGAAACTCAATATGAAATTGATACGAAGAATCACATAATCTGGACTGTGAAAATATTTTTGTTCTATCAATTTAACATCTCAATTTTCCATCTTAAATAATTTGATTTAGAGCCCGTTTGGCTTAGATGATAAGCATTAGGTGCTGAAAAGCACTTTTAAGTGTTGAAGCTCATTTAAAAAATAAACAGTTATGTGTTTGGATAAAAGTGCTAAAATTAATAATAAGCAGCTGAAGAACTAGGTATACGAAGAGTTTTATTTAAAAAGAATTATTTTAGGGATAGAATAGTAAATTTTTTGGTCAAATCTAAATTGCTTATAAGCTGAAATTTGATAAGTTGAGGGAGACCAACTTATGGATTTTGGCTTATTTTTTTACTTATAAGCACTTTTAATCCTACCAAACGCGTAGATAAACCAAAAAGTGCTTATAAGCCAGTTTGACCAGTTTATAAGCTTAGTCAAACACCCTCTTAACAATAATTCCATAATGTGGAGTGCAATTGAAATTCTTGGTTATCTAATTTTTTTTATTTCTCAGCAAATACGTAGAATTGATAAGTAAAAAAAGAATCTAAAAAATTACTAAAATGAAGTACATACAAATTAAATTAAAGATTTATGATGAGTTTGGGCCTACAACTTCATATGCACTCAATATGATCATATTAAAATGGAAGTAGTATTCACTATTATTTGGGGTTACTCAAAAGGGCGATATTAATTGAGATAATTAATAAGGAAACACATGTAATTGAAGTTGTTTATATGCCACGAAAATCACATACTCCTCCGGTCTTAATTTAATTTTTGTTTGTTTTCATATATTATGAAATTCACCTTTTAGCATTAATTAACAATATGACCATAAACCTTAATTTATTCATTAAAATTATAACAAATACTTTTAGGATTTTTATTCCAAGGCCAACTAAAAAAAAAAATTAATCCCTTCTTGATATCTGAAAAATCAAATATTGTGGACGATAAAAAAGATCAAAAAAATCAATTAATGTGAACATGAGGAAGTATTAATTAGTGTGCCAAACTTTATATTTTCACAAAAAAACGTAAATTAGTTCAAGTTTTGGATTAGGCCCGTGCTAAGTACGGGCTAACGGTCACTTGTACTATATAAAAGTCGATCAAGGGCATCATGGTCATTTCAAAGATATTGTTGGAAGAGAGGTCGATCAAGGGCATCATGGTCATTTCAAAGATATTGTTGTATTGTTTGCTAGTATAATAGGCTCAAAAGCTTAGTTGTGTGTTGTTAACGACAGATAAAACCAAAAGTAAAATGGCCCTATGCTATTGAGTTCTCAGGTGGACCCACTTCCCATTTAACCTTCACTGTCTTTGTCTTCTTTAAATGCACTATTTAATTATTGTTACTCTCCAATTTATTTGAAAACAGATTACTTCTCCCCTTCACTTTTTAAAAAACTATATGAACTTTTAACTAGAAAAATTATATTCTTGATAATTTGATAAACTAAAAGTATACTATGGTAACATACATTAATATCTAACAATTCTATTATCTCCTTTCATTTTTCTTTTTACATTTATTGACTATTTCAGGTAAAGAAGATTTTACAAAAAAGAATTGACAATAATTTATATAGATTTATATTTTCAAATGTTCTTATATTGTTATCAATTGATATCATTTTATAAAGATTTTGATTAAATTGCAATTTCTAATTGAAATACTTTATAAAATTAGCAAAAAACTATTTAAGAATAAAATATTAAAATTTGTTCAAATTGTATTAAAAGGATTTCCGCTCTAAAACATTATTCCCTCCGTGTTCAATAGAAATCAACATTATATAAATTTTAAAATACATAAATATACAATTAACTATTTTTAAAGTGAGTTGTATTACACCCTAAATAGTATCTCAGTCAAATCAAATGAAGAAAAAAAACGATAATGCTTCAATTTAAGGTAAATTTGATTAGTATTTAGAGAGATCGAGAAAATATTTCATTAAACTAGAATAAAATACAAAATTTATTGTTAAAAATTCTTAATAATTAAAAATTACGATTATTATTTTAAAGAACAAAAAGAATCCCTTTTTGTCAACTATTTGGGAAAAAATTAATATGTTTTATTATTCAATTTTTTATTAGCATAAAAAATAAAGTAATACATTAACACAATTGAAAACAATAAAAGAGCAAAATTATATATAATTACAATTTAAAAAATGAAAAAATACATCACGACTTATTTTTCAACTGACTTTTTAATCATTTTAAGTTTGGTGGTGCAAAATTTTTCTAAAGTAAAAAAGTGTAGAACCTACATAGAAATACTCTAAATTATACTTGAAGTTTTGTTTATTTTTTGTATAATAAAGTGTAGGGGTGAACATAAAATCCGAAAAATCGAATTCCGAACCGAACCAAATTAATTTGGTATTTCGATTTCGATTTTTTTGGTATTTCGGTTTATTTCGATACAAAAATTTTGATATTTCAGTAATTCAGTACGGTATACAGTATTGGATTTTTAATATTTCGGTATACCGAAATAGTTTACTAAGAAAAGACCATCTTTCACTTCTTAACTTTTTATTTTGTTCACTGCTCCTTTTCTATTAGTAAGTCTTTTGAGTTTTCCCAAGTACTTTTTCTCCTAGTATACTATTTTTTAAGCAATGATAAAAAGTTAGTTATTCTAACCCTACCCTTTGACTTGGGTTTGGAATTTGAACTTTCTATAAATCTCCTTTTCCTTTCTATAAATATACCCTTAACCAAAAGAAAGAGTCAAAATGGTGTCCTTAAGTTTAACTTACTTTTATGCTTGTTCTGTTGTTTATTGTCATAACCTTAAATGTTTCAATTACTTATATTGATGAAGGTACATAATTTTTTTCTTTCTCCAGTCATCAATATATTTTATGTTTTACTAAATCAACAGATTAGTTCCTTCTTTTTCCTTTGAAAACCTAATTAAAAGTTGACTACTCTTTTGCAGCTAAGCAAACTTTTGTTGTGGTCCATAAAGCAAAAAATGGTTTAAACCGAAATCATACCGAAATTGTACCGAACCAAAATAAAAAATACTGAACCGTACCGAAATATTTTGATATGGTATTTGGTATACACAATTGATAAACCAAATACCAAATCGAAATTCTTAAATACCAAACCGAAATACCGAATGTCCACCCTAATAAAGTATCAGTCTTCGACAAGTATTACAAAGTGATTGGTATAGTAATACGATTTGAGAAAGTTCACATAACACAAAAGATAAATAACACAAGTAATAGTGATTTTATACGTTGTTACAGAAAAGCCTATTATCTTTTCTTCTTTCCCTAAAGGCAAACAAAATGTGTGTTTAGTAATAAACCAAGAAATATTAAAAGAAAAAAGAGCGGGCCCGTGAAATGCACGGGTACATCATCTTGTTATTTTATATAAGAGAAAATGTTAAATTTGGTAGCTTATGTTTGGAAATGTTCAAAATTATCCCTTACGTATAACTTTGAGCAATTTTGGTTCTCTCAGTTCACTAATAGTTAACACTTTTGATCCCGTCAAATATTACAAATCTAAAATGGTAATGAAAGAAAAGATTTAATCAGGAATATGAGGAAAATCCTGTCAATTCCTAAAAATTATAACACAAATAACG